CCACTCTGCAGGGGAAGGACCTGGCAATCTGCTTCCATAAAGGTTACAGCCTAGGAAACCCTATGGGGCAGCTCTACTCTGTCACCTGGGCTCCTGAGTGGGAGTCAACTCGATGGCACCCAACAATAACATCAACAACAACACACACAGCTGGGTTATGTTACAGTAAACCAAAGACATTGTATCATTTCACCCTTCATATATTTGGGTGTATCTCTAAAAGGAACAAAAGACATCTTTAAAAAAAACACACACACACACTGCCATTATTACACCTAAAAGCTTAATCACGGTTCCTTAGTATTGCCAAATATCCGGGCAGCCTTCAAACTCTGTCTCTCTTTACAGTTGGTGGGTTCGTTTGTGGTTTTGGAGGCTTCCTGTGCTTGCTGGGTGGAGAGCTGGTGGCGGGCGTGGTTGGCGGTGGGACACCTGGTTAACCGTGCGTGTATGGGCAGACCTGTTTGCATCAGCAGTGTAGCGCCCCCACGCCAGTTGCTGTTGTGTTAACTGACTCATGGCTGCCCCATGTGTGTCAGAGTAGAATTGTGCTCCATAGGGTTTTCACTGGCTGATTTTTTGGAAGGAGATTGCCAGGAGTTTCTTCTGAGGTGCCTCTTGGTAGGCTTGACCCTTCAACCTTTTGGCAGCAGCCGAGCATGTTAACAGTTTGCACCACTCAGGGTCTCCCTGTACAGCCCATAGCTTCCCTGTAATCGCTTTTTTTAGCCTCATTTACCCCATTTGGAAAATGGGATGATAATAAGGAGTTGGAAGGATTCAAGGAGACCCTGTGCCTGGTGGTTTAAGTAGAACTATGTCCATAGCCCCTGGCTGAAGCAAATGCTGCATAACCCCTTCCACATGTTTTTGTACCCACTCAAGGGCAACACACAGCTAGTGAGAACAGGTGGAAAAAACTAAGGCCTGAGGTCTTTGGTTCAACTTAACTTTCTGTGACCGGAAAGCTTTGGGAGTTGCCACTCTGAGATAGTTTTAACAATGGCAACTAAAATAATGACAACTAGTATTTATTGCTTAAAAAAATACTTGCCGCCGAGTCAATTTTGACTCGTAGCGACCCCGTGTGTGAGAGTCGAACTGTGCTCCATGGGGTTCTCAATGGCTGATTTTCCAGAAGGAGATCGCCAGGCCTTTCTTCCAAGGTGCCTGTGGGTGGACTTGAACCTCCAACCTTTCAGTTAGCAGCCAAACACGTTGTACCACCCAGGGTCTCACTACCCATTTGTTGCTTACCAAGTGCTTTAGGACACATGAGCATAGAAGGTGTTAATCCATAGCCATCCTGTGGAGACCGCACTGTTATCATGCGCGTTTTCCAGCTGGGGAGACTTAGGCATAGGGGAGGGTAAGTGACTGTACAGGGCACATGGCTCGGAAGCAGCCATGACGGAATGGGAACCTGGTGCCTCGCTGCAGAGCCCTGCCCTTACCCACCCACACCACCTTGTCTCTCTTCTCTGGCAAAGTGCTTTAGTCTCTTAGTCAAAGGACATTTGATTCCCACTGTTCAGGTACACAGTGGCTTCATAGATGTCATAAAACAATATATGTACTAACTGTTTAATGAGAAACTAGTTTGTTCTGTAAACCATCTAAAGTACAAGAAAAAAAAAGATCACAGCCTTGGAAACCCTATGGGGCAGTTCTACTCTGTCCTGTAGGGTCACTGTGAGTCAGAATCGACTCAACGGAAACGGGTTTGGTTTTTGGTTTAGATGCAGGCTGGAGTCCCTGGGTGGTGCAAAGGTTAAGTGCTTGACTATTAACCAAAAGGTTGGCAGTTCGAATCCACCCAGAGGCTCCTTGGAAGAAAGACCTCGAGATCTGCTTCCAAAAGATCACAGCCTTGAAAACCTTTAGAGTGCCGTTCTACTTTGTAACACATGGGGTCACCATGAGTCAGAATCAACTTGTTGGCAGCTGGGCTGGTTTTTCTGGTTAGATGCAGGGCAGGTTCTGAGAATCATTGCAGGTCTGTGTGGAGACAAGACTGGGGGAAGGAGGCAAGGATGGAAACCAGAGGCCTCTGCACCTCTGATCTTTCTTCACTGGCCAGTGATGTTTAATAATACTCACAAAATAATAATATCAGTGCTAGTAATATCCATATCAACATCTTCTATGTGCATACCTCATATCAGCCTCTGTTCTAAGTGCCTCTTGACCTCCGTGTGAAAGATGGGGAATGTGATTATGTCCGTTTTACAGATGAGGACATTGAGACCCAAAGAGGTGAAGTCACTTATCCAGGGTCACCCATCCAGTTAGTAGAGGAGCGGGGCTTTGAACCCCAGACTCTTGACTGACCCCTAAACCTGTCCTCATTACCGTCACCCCACACTGGACCACTTGGTGTCAACCCAGTGAGAGACATAGATGCCAACCTGGGTGCCCAGATGTAGGGTGATCTCACAGGAGCCCAGACCGGCTAGTCATTCATATATTTTTCCCTGTTATTATAGAAAGTTTCAAAAATATACAAAATAAACAGAACAGTACAGTGAAACCCCCAGGTCTCTATTACCCAGCTTCGAGTTACCAACGTACAGCCATTCTTATTTCATCCTCATCCCCACTCACTCCTACTCAATGATTACTTTTTTTTTTTTTTAAAGGCAATATTTACATGCATTAACATGCACAAATCTGAGCTGTTAAGTTTTGAGAATTCACATAGCTCACACCCCAATCACAAGGTAGAACATTTTCCCCTCCCCAGAAAGTTCCCGATTAATTTCTTCAACTTTACCACTGAAATGAAAATACACGAATAAGAAATCCTCATAGTTACATCAGTGTTCACTGCAGCATTTTTCACAGTAGCCAAAGGTGGGAACAACCAAAATGTCCATCAACAGGTGAATGGATACACAAAATGTAGTCTATCCATACAGTGGACTGTTCCTGTTGCCATCGAGTCGATTCTGACACATAGGGACCCTACAGGACAGAGTAGAACTGCCCCATAAGGGTTTCCAAGGCTGAAATCTTTACAGAGGCACACTGCCAGGTCTTTTCTCCTGGGAAGCAGCTAGGTGGGTTTAAACCGATGAACTTTCGGTTCGCAGCCCAGCGCTTAACCATTGTGCCACCAGGACTGCTACAATGAAATATTACTCAGCCATAAAGACAAATTAATTCTTAATGCACGCCACAACATGGGTGAACCTTGACAACATCATGCTGAGCAAAATAAGTCAGTTGCAAAAGGACAAAATACTGTATGATCTCACTTACATGAAGTAAACAAATATATAGAAACCAAAGATGATTAGTGGTTACCGGGGTGGGAAGGAAGGGGAAAGGGAGATTTTTGCTTTGGGGACATTGACTTTATGTTAATGGTGGTGGAATAATTTGAAAAAGAATAACTAGAATAGTGGCACAACGTGAAGAGTGTAATCAGTGTCACTGAATTACACATATAGAAACTGTTCAATTAGCAAATGTTTTGTTGTGTATATTTCCAACACAACAAAAAAATTAAACAAATTACAGAGAACTTTGGGCCTCCCCTCTCAAACTATAAATTCACCCGTGGACCCATTTGGAGAAGCCTTCTCCTGGACCCTCCCCACGTTCACCTCCAGTTCTGCTGGTAGGAAGTTTACAGGGCTTCGGCCCCACCCAAAACTAGGGCCAAGGAGAGAAGAATGAAGGAGAAGCTGGTTGCTCTCTCAGAGCCACATTGTGGGGCTGTTTGTGAACATCGCCAGGCCTAAAATCCAGATGGGACAGGACCCCATCTTCCAGGCTTTTATGCCAGGTGTTTCTAGATGTTTCTGGGGCCTAGGGAAGCCTCTCCACACTCCCGATCCACCTCTCTCTTCCCTGCCAGTCTCCTTATCACTTTTTCAAATCTGAAATATTTCAGGCGTTCAGAAAATGGTATCAAAGATGTGCATGCCTGCCACCCAGCTTCATCTTAATATTTTTGCCATATTTGCTTCAGATCTGAAGAAAGAAACAAACCTGACAAGAGGATTGTCTTGGGGGTGATGGTTATGGGTGGGGACTCTGGAGTTAACCTGCCTTGGCTGAAATCCCAGCACGGCCTTGTACTACCTGTGGGGATCTTGGCTATAGTTTAACCTCTCTGTGTCTCAGTTTCTCCATCCAAAATAGAGATAATAAAAGGATCTGCCTCACGAGGATTTACAGAAGGTGAAACCCGTTACATGTAGAATACTTAATTCTTAGCCATTGCGCCTCAGGCACAGCCACCACCTACCTGTCTGTGGTGGCTTGCGTGTTGCTATGATGTTGAACAGGTTTCAACAGAACTTCCAGACTAACATGGACTAGGAAGAAAGGCCTGGCAATCTACTTCCAAACATCAGCCAATAAGAACCCTACAGATCACAGTAGTCTGATCCACAGCTGATCATGGGGATGGCCCAGGACCGGGCAGTGTTTTGTTCCTGGGGTCACTGTGAATCAGGACTGAGTTGACGGCAGCCAACAATAACAATTTAAACCAGCGCCCAGCAACTCAGCAGTGAGACTTATCCTTACTATTATTTTATTAGCTCGAAGTACCTATAAAGGAAGCACGTTGTTGGGTGCCGTCAAGTCAATTCCTACTCGTGGCGACCCAGTGTGACAGAGCAGAGCTGCCCCATAGGGTTTTCTAGGCTGTAATCTTTACGGGAGCAGATTGCCAGGTCTTTCTCCCGTGGAGCTACTGGATGGGTTAGAACTGCCGACCTTTTGGTTAGCAGCTGAGTGCTTAGCCGTTGTGCCACCAGGGTTCCTTTAATGAGTCATCGTGGTGTTTTGTTTGTTTAAACCTGTGTTTATCCTCCCCTCCCTCCCTTCCCTGTAACACCATCTCTTCAATCCTTTCTCCCTCTCTTCTGTCCCCACCACCAATCCTCTTCTCTCCCCCCACAACTCCCCCACCGCCACTCTTTCTTAGTCTTTCTCCTTTTCCGTCACTTTCTCTCTCACAGCCTCTCTCTCCTTCTCTCTCCACAGCTGGCCCCCGAGAGGATACTCCCCAAGTCCCCAGCTGGGGGCCCCGCGTAGACCTGGAGTGGACACCCCCTCCTTCCCTTCATGATTCGTGTGTAGCGCAGGTAACCGGAAAGAACCCCAGTCCACTCCTGGTGGGCAACCATCCCTCACCCCACCTCCCCGGGGCCACTTTGATCCCCGAATAAGGAAGGAGCCTTTCTTCCTGGCAGAGCCTGGTGCAGACATACCCTTCAGCTCTTCCCTCTCCGGCGGGGGCCCCAGGTCATTTGAGTCATCCCCCTGCCTCCACGCAGCTGCAGGCAGACCCTTCTCCCCATCTTTTGTCTCGCCTCCTTTCTCCAGATTCTTTGCAGACCTCTCACCTCTTTGTCCCCTGGCTGGGACTTGGTGTTCCCCCACACTCCCTGTGTGCAGGTTGGAGAGGGGCCTCCAGGCCAGGGACCTGGCACCATGGGGAAAAGGCAGTATGGGTAGGGGGCTGGGATGTGGAGCAGGAGGGAGCATGTCGTCACACCCTCAAACTCAGAGGAGCCAAGGAGGGGCTCTGTGGGGACCACCCCCAACCCCTGTGGACAGCGCTAAAAGGAAGAGTGATTGATGTGTGTGGGGCTCTGGGTGTGTGTGTGTGTCGCTAAAAGGAAGAGTGATTGATGTGTGTGGGGCTCTGTGTGTGTGTGTGTGTGTGTGTGTGTGTGTGTGAGTGTGTTGTTAACCCAGGGCCCATGGAGAGAGAGAGAGAGAGTGTGTGTGTGTTGGGTGGTGTCTTAGTCATCTGATGCTGCTCCTACAGAAATACCACAGGTGGATGGCTTCAACGAACACAAATTTATTCTCTCACAGTCCAGTAGGCTACAAGTCCAAATTCAGGGTGTCAGCTCCAAGCGAAGGCTTTCTCTTTTCTATTGGCTCTGGAGGAAGATCCGTGTCATCAATCTTCCCTTGGTCTGGGAGCATCTCAGCGCAGGAACCTCAGGTCCAAAAGACGCACACTGCTTTCTTGGTGTGAGGTTCCCGTGTGTCTTTGCTGGCTTCTCTCTTTTATATCTCAAGAGATTGGCTTAAGACACTATCCAGTCTTGTATACCTCATCAGTATAACTGCCGCTAATCCATCTTATTAGATGATAGTGATTGAATTTATAACATGTAAGGAAATCACATCAGATTACAAAATGGTACAGTTATACAATACTGGGAATCATGACCAGCCAAGTTGACAGATATTTTTGGGGGACACAATTCAATCCATGACGGGGGTCCATGAACCCCGGGAAAGCACGAGTCAATTTTTCGCCCACATACATGTTTCTAGGAAGAGGGTCCTTGGTTGCCGTCAGATTCTCCAAGGCACTGTTGAGAGAGGACCCTTACCCAATCCTGGGAGGTCCTGTCTGCCACTTTTCGTCATAGCACAGAGCAGTTGAGGACAGCGGGAAATGGAGGTGGCGGTTAGGAGGTCGCTGTTTGGAGAGATCAGAGAATGCTGTGGGGTGAAGGGTTGTGAACCCTGAGGGCACATTAGTGCGTATGTTTGTTTCAGGAGATGGGAGGAATCCGTGACAGTTACCATATCCTCAGTGAGGTCCAGGACCTCGCCTCCACCCCCACCCAAAATAAAAAAGGTTAAGAACTCCATGGCCCTGGGCTGTATGTAAATCCCTCCGTTCAAGGATCCTGTGTTATTCCTTGTTGTATCCTGTATGCAGTACCAGGAGGGAAGGATAGCTGAAGGATGCATGAGGCAATGGAAGGATGAGAGGATGGAAGAATGAATCGGTTTGGGTGTTTAGAAGAAGGAGAGATGTATGATCAAATGGAAGTTTGGAATGATGGAACGATGGATGGAGGCTTGGAGGGACGGAGGGATATTTGGATGGGTGGAGGAATGGAAATTTAGAAGAATGGATGGAAGGATGAAAGTTTGGAAGTACACCTACTCCTCACTTATGGACTATCTTATCTAACATTTCACATTTGCGACAGTAGTAAAAATTTACTATCCGACTATTTTGTGCATTGACGACGTATATCTGGCAGTAACGAACGCCGACGTGCGAGACAAGAGTAACGCTGCTGTGATGGAACATATAAGCCCCACTTAAGTTTTTGACTTCTTGGATTTCTTGAGCTGCTGGTGCCTCACTTATAGTACGTGCTGCCATCAGATCACTGGGAAGTGGAAGTCCCGCTTACGTTTTCGTGTAATGCCAATTTTTGCTTAACAACCTGGTCTTTGTTAACCCAGGGCCCGTGAAGAGGGTGTGTGCATGTGTGTGGTCTTTGGAACCTAACGATGTCGATAAGTGAGGAGTGGATATATAGAGGGATGGATGGAGATTTAGAAGGATGAAAGGCTGTTTGGAAGTTTGAAAGGATGGAGGGATGGATGGAATTTTGAAGAGATGGATGAGTGTTTGGAGATTTAGAAGGATGGAGGGGTGGAAATTTAGGATGGGGGAGAGGTAGAGGTTTGGAAAGATGGAGAGACGTTTGGAAGTATGGAGGGATGGATGGAGGTTTGGAGGTTAGAAAGATGAAAGAATGGAGGGAAGTTTGGAAGGATAGAGGATGGAGGGATGCTTGAAAGGATGGAAGATTGGAGGTTTGGAAGGATGGAAAGCTAGATGGGTGGGAGGGAGGGAGGAAGGGAGAGTGGATGGGTTGATAGAGTGTCAGTTTCCTCATGTAAAATGGGGGGTTACCGATAGTCTCTCCCTCACGGGGGGTTGAACGAGCTAATGTTTGTAAAGTACTTCAGACAAGGCCTGACACATGGCAAGTGCTTGACAGACATTAGCCATCCTCAGCCACCCTATTCTTTTTTTTTTTAATTGTACTTTAGATGAAGGTTTACAGAACAAATAGTTTCTCATTAAACAGTTAGTACACATATTGTTTTATGACATTGGTTAACAACCCCACGGCATATCGACACTGTCCCTTCTCAACCTTGGGTTCCCTATTACCAGCGTTCCTGTCCCCTCCTGCTTTCTAGTCCTTGTCCCTGGACTTTTGTGCCCTTTAGTCTTGTTTTGTTTTATGGGCCTGTCTAATCTTTGGCTAAAGAGTGAACCTCAGGAGTGACTTCATTACTGAGCTAAAAGGGTGTCCGGGGGCCATACTCTCAGAGTTTCTCCAGTCTCTGTCAGGCCAGTAAGTCTAGTCTTTTTTTGTGAGCTAGAATTTTGTTCTACATTTTTCTCCAGCTCTGTCCAGGATCCTCTGTTGTGATCCCTGTCAGAACAGTCGGTGGTGATAGCCGGGTACCATCTAGTTGTGCTGGACTCAGCCTGGTGGAATCAGCCTCACCATTCTTACAGTGAGGGTCAGCCTCTCTCCAGTGACTTCTCTGACTCAGAGCGTCCATCCTCATGCATCCCTCTCCCTTTCTTCTGCCTCAGTTTCCCCTTAACCCTTCTCAAACCACACTGCATTTGACCTCAAGGGGAACCCAGAACCCTAGGCTATAGGCCTTTCTTGCTACCTCCACTCCCTTCCTCACCCCTTCACTCATTCATACATAGGACACACCCTTACCACGCGCCCTCTCTGAGCCAGGTCCTGTGTTCAGAGAAGCAGGACCGCCTGGTGTTCTGGGAGCCATCCTGCCTGGCTTCAAGGTCTGGCTCTGCTGCCTGCTGGCTGAGAGACAGATAATGACCGTCTACAAAGTGGGGGTGCCAGGACCCAACTCACAGGGGTACCTTGAGGATTAAATTAATTAAACGTGTGTGAAGCACTTAGCACAGTGTCTGCACATGATCAGGGCTCAGGTAGTCTTGGTTGATATCCTTGTCACCGTAAGGTGCTGGGGAGAGAGATGGGGGAGTTTGGGAGAGGAGGAGGGAGACGGAGAGGAAGCTGTTCCTGGTCAGGAGGTTCGAGCGGGGTGGGTACCTGGGAGGTGCTCCCTGCCCTCACCTATCTCCATAAGGTCCAGGGAACAGAAAGTCCAACCCCAATGGGGCTTGGCCCTGGGGACTTGTCCTCAAGGGGAGAGGACCAGTCAAGCTGCTACCATCTAACCTTGTCTCCCTTGCCCTCTTCCCGGCCCTACCCATCCAGTGGCGATGGATGATGAGGATGGGAGATGCTTACTAGACGTGATTTGGTGAGTAATGGGCTCCCCACCCTCACCCCTCTATCTTAAACGCCCCCTCTCACCCTCCCCTTCCCCTGTCATCCTTCTGCCCCCCTGCTCCTCACCTCCTCAGTGTCTATTTCCCTTCTCTCTTTCAGTGATCCTCAGGCCCTCAATGATTTTTTACATGGATCCGAAAAGGTAAGTGCTGGGGCGGGGAGAGATGTTCCATGGGGTAGGGGGCTGATAGAATGGGAAGCTGGACAGACCCCTTGGTTCAGTGGACATCAATCCCCTGCCTTCTATGAGCCAGGCCCTGGGATTATAGCCAGAACAAAGCAGATGTCAAATCCCTGCCCTCATACATCTCCTTGGTAAGCAAAGAAACCAATAATTAATAAAAGCAGTGGTGGAAAATGCCCTGCAAGGTTTGATAAGACATGATAATAATCTTATGTGCACAGCAGAAGGAGTTTAAAAGAAAATGAATGAGGGACAGGGGCTTCTTTAGCTAGTGTGGTCAGGGAGGGTCACTGTAAGGAGGTGTCACTCTAAGGAGGTGACATTGAAGGTGAGACCCAAAGGATCAAAGGGGGGTGCCCATAGTACACCTGGAATGGAGAAGAGCAGGTACAAAGGCAGGAAAGAGCTTGACCTGTTCAGGAACAGAAAGAAGGCTAGTGGGTTGAACTGAAGGGAAAACTAGGAGGAAGTGAGATGAGTGGATGGTAGTTACCGGTCATGCAAGGCCTGGATAGAGGACAGGAAGCTCTGATGGATTATTAAACAGGAGAATGCTATAATCTGACTTACACCCTAAAGAATGGAACAAACTGGGAAAGAGCGTAAGCCTGGGAAGCCACAAGGGGCTGTGTTAGCTACCTATGGCCACGTAACAAATTATCCAGACACTTAGTGGCTTAAAACATTTGTTATCTCCAGGAATCTGGGAGCAGCTTAGCTGGATGGCTCCGACTTAGGGTCTTTCGTGGGGTTGCGATCAAGACGCTGTCCAGGGCAGCAGGCATCTGAAGGCTTGTCCGGGGCTGGACAATGTGTTTCCGGAATGACTCATTCCCATGGCTGTTGGCTGGAGCCTCAGTTCCTTACCATGTGGGCCTCTCCAAAGTGCTGCTTGAGTGTCCTCACAACATGACTGCTAATTCCCCCTAGCCAGTGATCTGAGAGAGAGAGAGAGCAAGGAGGAAGCCCAATGCCTTTTATGACCTAGTCTTGGAAGTCAGACACCGTCACCTCCGCCACATTGTATTCATTACAAGCTCGTCACTAAGTCCAGCCCACACTTAGAAGGAGGGGAATTGAGCTCCAGTTCTTGAAAGGCTGTTGTTGTTGGGTGCCGTCAAGTCAATTCCATCTCACAGTGACCCCATGTGACAGAGTAGAACCACCCCCAGACGGTTTTCTAGGCTATAATCTTTATGGGAACAGATTGCCGGGTCTTTCTCCCACGGAACTGCTAGGTGGGTTTGAACCACTAACCTTTTGGTTAACAACAGAGTGCCTAACTGTTGCACCACCAGGGTCCCAAGTAACAAATAATTTGTAGACAGAAAGCAGCTGCAATAGGATGATGATGGTCTGGACCACCATGCTGGCAGTGGAGGGGGTGCGAAGCCCTGGATTTGGGATCTGTTTGAGAGGTAGAATCACTGGGACTTGCTCATGGATCAGATGTCAAGGAAGAGATAGGTGTCTAGGATGACTCCTGGATTTTGGATTAGGATTATGGTTCCATCTTCTGAGAGCAAGTGTTTGGGTCAGATTCCAGAAGTCCAAGTGGGGCTCTTGAACAGACTGTTGGATATATGAGTCTGGGGTTCTAGAGAATCATCCAGATAGGGAGAGAGACTGGAGAGGCCTCAGCTGTGGACAGACATTCACTGGGCACTTAAGTGGTTGCCAACCCCTGTTCTGGGTGCAGAAGGTGCCCTCATAAATCAGAGCAGGTGTAGAGACAGGCCCACGGCCGCATGTTGGGGGCCCTGATGGTGGGATGGGCCAGGCACTTGAGCTGTACCTGGACTTGGAGTGACTTAGTAAGAAGGACCAGAGGATTGTTGGCAGGAGGTGGCATGGGTGACAAGTCCCTAAGGATGTGTGATCAGAGAGGCTGAAGGGTGAAAGGCAGGAAGAACAGCTTGGGCAAAGACATGGAGTCGGGACTCCAGAGTTCAAGGCAAGTGTGTCAGGAGGTCCTTGGAGGCCAGACTAGGGAACTCAGTGTTGGGGACACCTCATTTTTTTTTTTAAAGAACAGAAATTTATTATCTCAGACTTCTGGAGGCTGTTATTATTGTGTGCCATTGAGTGGATTCTGACTCACAGCGACCCTATAGGACAGAGTAGAACTGCCCCGTAGGGTTTCCTAGGCTGTAATCTTTACGGGAGCAGATCATCAGGTCTTTTCTCCCACAGAGCCGCCGGTGGGTTAGAACTGCCAACAACCTTTTGGTTAGCAGCTGAGTGCTTAACCATTTTCTGGAGGCTAGGACTCTGCATTCAGGGTGCTGGCAGGGCCATCTGTCTGTCTGTCTGTCTGTTCTAGGGGAAGATCCTTTCTTGTTTCTTCTAGCCTCTGGTAGCCCCAGGCGTCTCTTGGCTTGTAGATGTATCTTGATATGCAGTCTGTTCTTCTTTTTTATAAAACACCACTCAGAAGAAATTAGGATTAGGGTGTGACTTCCTTAATATAACTGATAACATCTGCAAAGAAGAACACTGTTTCCCCAAACGAGGTCACATTCACTGGTGCAGGGGTTAAGACCTGGACACCTTGGGCTTTAAGCATGCGGCCAAGCCCTTTTCTTTGGGACCTCTGCTCTGGGAGGCAAAGAAATTCCTGTACCCCACACCCTCCTCACCCCTCGTCTTTTCCTCTCCTGTAACCCAAAATTGGTTTCTGCTCTAGAGCTTGGGCTTGCCCGCTACCCAGCTGACCTTTGACCTTGGGTGGGCGGGTCTTGTTGCAGCTCGACAGTGATGACCTCCTGGATAACCCTGGGGAGGCCCAAAGTGCCTTCTACGAAGGTCCTGGGGTAAGTGGGCTATGCTGTGGCTGGTGGAGGGGGAGGCTCTGAAGCAAGAGGGGAGGGTTTGGCCTCCTGCCCTGAGGAGTTTAGATGGCAGAGGGCAGGGGCCACCACTGAGAGCAGTGTGGGGGGAGGTGGCACCAAGACTGCTGGGCCACCAAGGCTCACAGAGGGAGCAAGGGTGGGTGCTCTGGGGGCCGACACAGTGAGGCCGGCTGTGCCCCACGTGCCCCTTGGAGCAGGAGGTGAGGGCTCTGGGTCCCTGGCTCACAACGGTTCTGGGGGCTCACCAGCCTCCTCTGGACATAAGGGCAAAGCTGAGGTCCTGCCCCAGCTGGGCCGTGTGTGTGTGTGAGATCTGACCTCGTGCACAAACCTCGGGTGTGTGTATGTGAGAGAGATCAGACCTCGGGGGTGTGTGTGTGTGAGATCCGACCTCATGCACAGACTTCAGGGTGTGTGTGGGTGTGTGTGTGTGTGTGTGTGTGTGTAAGATCCAACCTCATGCACAGATCTCAGGGGTGTGTGTGTGTGTGTGTGTGATCCGACCTCATGCACAGACCTCGGGTGTGTGTGTGTGAGAGATCAGACCTCAGGGGGGTGTGTGTGTGAGAGAGAGAGAGAGAGAGAGATCCGACCTCATGCACAGACCTCAGTTTCCACCTGTAAAATGAAGGTAGGGGTGATGAGCAGAGCCCAGAGCAGGAAACATTTATTGAGAGGCCCTGGTAGCCCTGTGGTTAAGCATTGGGATGTTAACCAAAAAGTCAGCAGTTCAAATCCACCAGCTGCTCCTTGGAAACCCTATGGGGCAGTTGTACTCCGTCCTAAAGGGTCGCTATGAGTTGGAATCGACTCGAAGGTGATAGGTTTGGTTTTGGTTTACTGTGTGCCCGACTCTGTTGGCTCCATCCATTAGTAAATGCCAGTTGTCCACATAGCATCGTCTTGCTCCTTCCGTGTTCTTCCCCCTCCTCTAGCCTCAATTCTGCTTCTTCTTCCTCTTGTCCTCCCTTCTCTCCATCCCCCTACCCTCTCTGCCCCCTCCTTCCTCCTCCCTTCTTCCTCTTCATTATCATAACTTCCAGTTATTGAACACTCATTATTTGCCCAGCGCTTTACAGTAATTTTCATTTAATTCTCACAACTGTAATAATATATCCCAGACAACTTATCTTTAGTAATTATTGTTGTTAGGTGCTGTCGAGTCAATTTTGACTCGTAGCGATCCCGTATGACAGAGTAGAACTGCCCCATAGGATTTCCTAGGCTGTAATCTTCACGGAGGAGCCCTGGTGGCGCAGTGTGTAAGTGTTCGGCTGCTAACCAAAAAGTTGGCTGCTCGAACCCACCAGCCGCTCCATGGAAAAAAGATGTGGCAGTCTGCTTCCATAAAGATTACAGCCTTGGAAACCCTATGGGGCAGGTCTACTCTGTCCTATAGGGTTGCTCTGAATCGGAATCGACTCAACAGCAGTGAGTTTATTTCTATTTAAGAAAAAGAAATTTTTTTAAATTACATTTTACTAATGTGTACAGAGGAGCCCTGGTGGCACCAGCGGTTTGCACCCAGCTACTAACCAGAAGGTTGTCAGTTCAAACCCACCCAGTGGTACCACAGAAGAAAGGCCTAGTGATCTGCTTCTCTAAAGATTACAACCAAGAAAACCCTACGGGGCAGTTCTACTCTGTAAAATGTGGGGTCACCATGAGTTGGGAGCCAACTCAGTGGCAACGGGTTTGGTTTTGGTTTGCTGATGTGTACAGATGGGGAAACTGAGGCCAGATTGAGCTAGTCCCAGGTTGCATAGCTGACCAGTGGTGGAACTGGGATTCGAGTCTGTATCTAGCCACTTCCACACAGAATGTTCTCTCTGACTGTGCTGCCCTAGAGCCTAAGCATCCATCACTCAAGCCATGATCTCAGCCTGACCCCTTGCTAATCTCAGCTTTTCCCTTCCCACCTCACCCGGCCTCCAGCTCCATGTCCAAGAAGCTTCCGGCAACCACTTGAACCCAGAGCCCAGCCAGCCAGCGCCCAGCGTGGACCTCGACTTCCTGGAAGATGACATCCTGGGCTCGCCCTCGGCAGGGGGCGGCGGTGGGGGCGGCGGGGGTGCCGACCAGCCCTGTGACATCCTCCAGCAGAGCCTCCAAGAGGCCAACATCACCGAGCAGACGCTTGAGGCCGAGGCTGAGCTGGACCTGGGCCCCTTCCAGCTGCCCACCCTGCAGCCGGCAGATGGCGGGGCAGGCCCAGCGGGCGCAGGAGGGGCAGCTGCCGTGGCTGCGGGGCCACAGGCCCTCTTCCCAGGCGGTACCGACCTGCTGGGGCTGCAGGCGCCACCCACTGTGCTGGCCCACCAGGCCCTGGTGCCACCCCAGGACGTAGTCAACAAGGCCTTGAGTGTGCAGCCGTTCCTGCAGCCCGTGGGCCTGGGAAACGTGACCCTGCAGCCCATCCCAGGCCTCCAAGGCCTGCCCAATGGTAGCCCTGGGGGTGCCGCAGCAGCCACACTCGGCCTGGCGCCCATCCAGGTGGTGGGCCAGCCCGTCATGGCGCTCAATCCGCCTGCCTCCCAGCTCCTGGCCAAGCAGGTGCCTGTCAGCGGCTACCTGGCCTCGGCGGCCGGCCCCTCAGAGCCGGTAACCCTGGCATCGGCTGGTGTCTCACCCCAGGGAGCCGGCCTGGTGATTCAAAAGAACCTGCCCGCCGCCGTCGCCACCACACTCAACGGGAACTCTGTGTTTGGAGGGGCAGGGGCTGCCACAGCCGCAGCCGGCGGGGCACCCTCGGGGCAGCCGCTGGCGGTGACCCCCGGCCTGGGCGCTTCGCCACTGGTACCGGCGCCCAGCGTGATCCTACACCGCACGCCCACGCCCATCCAGCCCAAGCCTGCCGGCGTGCTGCCCCCCAAGCTCTACCAGCTGACACCCAAGCCCTTCGCGCCAGCGGGCGCCACACTGACCATCCAGGGTGAGGCGGGGGGCCTCCCGCAGCAGCCCAAGGCCCCCCAGAACCTGACTTTCATGACCGCGGGCAAGGCGGGCCAGAATGTGGTTCTGTCGGGCTTCCCAGCGCCTGCCCTGCAGGCAAATGTCTTCAAGCAGCCCCCTGCCACCACAACGGGGGCTGCCCCGCCTCAGCCGCCTGGGGCCCTGAGCAAGCCCATGAGCGTTCACCTCCTGAACCAAGGCAGCAGCATTGTCATCCCCGCCCAGCACATGCTGCCCGGCCAGAACCAGTTCCTGCTGCCTGGCACATCGGCTGTCCAGCTGCCCCAGCCGCTATCCGCCCTGCCGGCCAATGTGGGTGGGCAGATACTGGCGGCTGCGGCTCCCCATGCGGGCGGACAGCTCATCGCCAATCCCATCCTCACCAACCAGAACCTGGCCGGCCCCCTGAGCCTGGGGCCCGTGCTGGCCCCCCACTCCGGGGCCCACAGCACTGCTCACATCCTCTCAGCCGCCCCCATCCAGGTGGGCCAGCCAGCGCTCTTCCAGATGCCTGTGTCTTTGGCCGCCGGCAGCCTGCCCACCCAGAGCCAGCCGGCCCCTGCGGGCCCTGCAGCCACCACCGTCCTCCAGGGCGTCACTCTGCCGCCTAGCGCTGTGGCCATGCTCAACACCCCTGATGGCCTGGTGCAGCCAGCCACCCCTGCCGCTGCCCCCGGGGAGGCCGCATCCGTCCTTGCGGTACAGACGGCCCCCCAGGCAGCCCCCACCGTCAGCACGTCACTGCCTCTGGGCCTCCAACAGCCTCAGGCGCAGCAGCAGCCCCAACAGGCCCCAACCCCGCAGGCCGCCGCTCCACCTCAGGCCACCACCCCCCAGCCCAGCCCGGGCCTGGCATCCAGCCCTGAGAAGATTGTCCTGGGGCAGCCGCCCGCTGCCGCCTCCACAGCCATCCTCACTCAGGACTCCATGCAGATGTTCCTGCCCCAGGTAACCAGGCCGGGCAGGGATGCAGGGCTGGGAGAGATGGGCTGGCAGGGGAGGGGTGACAGGAAGGACTGGGCCCAAGGGGTGGGGGTTTGCTGGGGGGCCCTCGGCAGGTGGCAGCAAGGGAGTGGAGTGGGCTGTGTGGTGGCAGGGGAGCTGAAATCGGATGCAGCTGAGGCAGTAAGGGGGGGTGTTTTGTGTTGGGGAAGAGCCTCAGATGACACCTGTGCTCCAGATGTAGGCGTCCCTGAGAGACGGCCCAAGGGATGAGAGGGACTGAGGGTCTGATGGACGGGGAGATGCTGACTAACCGACAGAAGGAAAGACTGCCAGGGAGGCTGATGGAAGACTTGGCTGACTGACTGATGGGGAGAGAGACTGTCAGACAGGCTGGCTGATGCACAGATATGGAGAGGGACTGGCTGGCTGGCTGACAATCTGACTTGACTGACAGATGGACGGACAGAGAAGAAGAGAGGCTGGCTGGCTGGTTGACTGATGGATGGATGGACAGACAAGTAGAGGAACTGACTTGAGTGGCAGGCAGATACACAAGACTGGCTGACTGCCAGATGATGGACAGACAGACACACAGGAGAGACTGGCTGGCTGACAGAGTGCTGGAAGATTGGAGGGGGATCACAAAAAGAGAGTGAGTTAGACATGGACAGACAGACGGAGCAGGAGCAGTTGAAGACGTGGTGGAGCAGGCGGACAGACCGACAACTTAGAGTGGAACAAGCTGCCTGGGACGCAGCCTCCCCGGCCTCTGAGCAGCGTGCCCATGCTAGCCCAGGCCTCTCGGAGCACCTCCCTCCTGGCTTCCCGACCACCCCCTGCTCTGTACCCTGGGCAGTGTCAGTGGGGGCAGGGCTGTCGTGGGGGGCTGAGGGGTGCGCGGGGTGGCCTTCTGACCCTGTGCGGGTGCCCGTTGCAGGAGAGGAGCCAGCAGCCCCTCCCCGCAGAGGGCCCCCACCTCTCTGTGCCCGCCTCAGTCATAGTCAGCGCCCCGCCTCCTACCCAAGACCCAGCCCCGGTCACCCCCGTCGCCAAAGGAGCAGGCCTCGGCCCTCAGGCCCCCGACAGCCAGGCTTCCCCGGCTCCGGCCCCCCAGGTAGACGCACCCCCGCAGCCTCTATCCTCAGCTCAGCCGACCCTTGTCCCCTCGCACCTGCCTCCCTGGCTCCCTCCTCTCTGTGCTCTGGCTGTCCTGGCTTCCTCTGTCTCGCTGACGTGGGAACTGGCGCGCTCCTTCACTCCCTTCGCAGAGATTTCCAGAGCGTCACCTGACAGATGTGGGGGCTCGAGGCCAGGGCCAGCCCACGGGAGCTCACAGTCTAGGCAGGGATACAAGAACACACCAGGAGACACTTACTATTTCCTAAAATTACACTTTCATATCTGGGTAAGTAACACATCCAGATAGTTCACTTTTCAAAAGACACAAGAAGGTATATAGTGAAGATCCCTCCTCCTAACATTTTTAGCCTCCTGGCTTTCCTCTCCACGGCCGTTTCTCGTGTTTGTTTTTCCATACTTGTTACTGGGTGCCGTGGAATCGATTCTGACTTGTAGCGACTCCGTGTGACAGAGTAGAACTGCCCCATAGGGTTTTCTAGGCTGTAATATTTACAGGAGCAGATCGCCAGGTCTTTTCTCCCACGGAGCTGCTGGGTGGGTTTAAACCACCAACCTTCCCGTTAGCACCCGAGCCCTTAACCGCTGTGCCACCAGGGCTCTTTCTTCTCTATGCATAGACAAACAGAGTCAGATAGAGAGATGATGGATGGATGGATGGGTGGATGGATGGATAGATAGCTGCTGTTGAGGCGACTCCAACTCATGGTGACCTTATGTACAACAGTATGAAATGTAGCCCGGTCCTGCGTCATTTTCACGATTGCCAGCGTGTTGAGGTTATATATACACATTCTTCATATGGTGCAGCCTTTATCCTTTTCCAAAATATTCACAACCATTAACATAAACTCAATGCCGTCTTAAGCAAAAACTCCTCCTTTCCCTCCCTCCCACTGCTGGTAACTATTTTTTTTTTTGTTTGGTTTCTGTATATTTGCATATTTCACGTAAGTGAGATCATACAGTATTTGTCCTTTTGTGACTGACTGATTTCTCTCAGCATAATGGTCTCAGGGTTCATCCGTGTTGTGGCAGGCATCAGGACTTCATTTCTCTTTATGGCTGAGAAGTGTTCCATTGCGTGTATGGACCACATTTTGTTGATCCGTTCATCTGTTGATGGACATTTTGGTGGTGTCCACCTTTTGGCTACTGTGAAAAGTGCTGCAGTGGACCCTGGTGTACAGGTTCTCCTTTTTTTTTTTTTTTTAATTTTATTGTGCTTTAGGTGAAAGTTTACAGTGCAAATTAGCTTCTTATTCAAAAATTTATATGCAAATCGTTTTGTGATGTTGGTTGCAATCCCCACAGTGTGTCAGCACTCTCCCCCTTTCCACACTGGGTTCCCCATCGCCATTCGGCTGGTTTTCCTGTCCCTTCCTGCCTTCTTGTCTTTGCTTTTGGGCAAGTGTTACCCATTTGGTCTCGTCTACTTGTCTGAACTAAGAAGCACGTTCCTCACATGTGTTATTGATTGTTTTATAGGCCTGTCTAATCTTTGGCTGAAAGGTGGACTTTAGGAGTGGCTTCAGTTCTGAGTTAGCAGGGTGTCCAGGGGCCATAATTTCAGGGGTTCCTCCAGTCTCTTTCAGACCAGTAAGTCTGGTCTTTTTTTGCGAATTTGAATTTTCTACATTTTTCTCCTAATCTCTCTGGAACCCTCTGTTGTGATCCCTGTCAGAGCATTCGGTGGTGATAGCCAGGCACCATCTAGTTCTTCTGGGCTCAGGCTGGTGGAGGCTGTGGTTCTAGTGGTCCGCTAGTCCTTTGGACTAATATTTTCCTTGTGTCTTCGGTTTTCTTCATTCTCCTTTGCTCCAAATGGGATGGGACCAATAGATGTATCTTAGATGGCCACTTGCAAGCTTTTAAGACCCCAGACGCTACTTACCAAAGTAGGATGTAGAGCACTTTCTTTATGAACTACATTATGCCAATTGACCTAGATATCCCCCAAGACTATGGTCCCCAGACCTCAGTCTCAGTAACTTGGTCCCTCAAAATGTTTGGATGTGTCTAGGAAGCTTCTCTGACTTCTCCTTGGTCAAGTTGTGCTGACTTCCCCTATATTGTATGCTGTCTTTCCTTTCACCAGAGTTAACACTTGTCTGTTATCTAGTTGATGATTTCCCCTCCCCACCTCTCCTCTCCCTTGTAACCATTAAAGATGGTTTTTTCTGTGTATAAACCTTTTCTTGGGTTTTTATAATAGTGGTCTCATACAATATTTGTTCCACTTTTTCTTTTTAAATACTGGTTGCTACTGGCTAAAATGATCCTGAGCTGTTACCAATGGTTTACTATGTGCAGTTCGAAGGCCACTGCCTGGGAGAATTGTTGCTTGGGCAGTGTGGTGTGGTGGTTAGGAACATGAAGTCTAAAGCCCAACTTTTCAGGTTCAAATCCTGGCTCTGCCTCTTACAGCTCTGTGACCTCTCTGTGCCTCAGTTTCCTTACTTATAAAATGAGGTTGATAATGTCGTCTACTTCTCAGAAGGTTGCTGGGAGGATTTAAAAAGTTAACATATGGAAAGTGCTTAGAACAGGTTCGGAAATGCTGAAAATGCTATGTAAGTAAAAAAAATAGCCAGGGGCCAGCAAATTTTTTCCTCTAAAGATCCAGATAGTAAATGTTTGTAGCTTTTTAGCCGAAAGTAGCCATAGATCATACACAAATGATGAGCATGGCTGTGTTCTAATAAAACTTTATTTATGAATACTAAAATTTACATTTCATACAGTTTTCACATGTCACAAGTATTATTCTTATTTTGATTTTTTCAACCATTTTTAAAACGTAGAAACCATTCATGGCTTGTTGGCCATATAAAATGGTAGGCCAGTTGCGTGGTGGACAGGATTTTGCCTGTGTCCTGTAGTTTGCTGTCAATTCCGACTCATAGTGACCCCATGTGTGTCAGAGTAGAACTGTGCTCTATAGGGTTTTCAATGGCTGATTTTTCAGAAGTAGAGTTGTAGTTGTTGTTGGGTGCCATCAAATTGATCCTGACTCATAGCGACCCCATATGACAGGGTAGAACTGCCCCATAGGGTTTTCTTGGCTGTAATCTTTAAGGAAGCAGATCGCCTCTGGGTGGGTTCAAACCACCAACCTTTTGGTTAGCAGCCGATTGCTTAACTGTTTGTGCCACCAGGGCTTCTAGAGGTGTAGGCTATAGCTATATTTATCCGCACATAGAGTGCTTTCCTCCTTCTTAAAACGTCTCTATCCTGTTTGATAATATGGACACACCATGATTTTTTTATTCAGTCTCCTGTTCATGAATGGGGCAGTGGTGGTTCAGTGGTAGCATTCTCACCTTCCATGTGGGAGACCCGAGTTCAAGTCCCAGCCAGTGCACCTCATGTAGAGCCACCACCCGTCTGTCGCTGGAGGCTTGCATGTTGCTATGATGCTGAACAGATTTCAGCAGAGCTTCCAGGCTAAGACAGACTAGGAAGAAAGGCTTGGTGATCTGTTTCTGAAAATCAGCCAGTGAAAACCCTGTGGATCTCAATGGTCCAGTCTGCAATCATTCACAGGGATGGCACAGGACAGGGCAGTGTTTTGTTCTGCTGTACCTGTGCATGGGGTGGCTGTGAGCCAGGGGTTCACTTGACCACAGCAGCTAACAACATTCACGAATACTTAAAGGTGGTTTCCTGTGTAATTTGTGAACAGTCAAAACACACAAACACACACATACACACACACACACAAATTCATTGCTGTTGAGTTGATGCCAACTCATGGCAACCCCATGTGTCACAGAGTGGTTTTCTTGGCCTTGACCTTTCGGAAGCAGATCACCAGGCCTTTCTTCCATGGTGCTGCTGGATGGATTCGAACCTCCTTTCTGTTAGTAGAGAAGCACAAACTATTTTTGTCACCCAGAGACCCTTGAACAAACAGTGTGCCTGTAAATACTCTTGTACCCAGGCTTTGCACATATGTGTGAAAATATCTGTAGATTGCTAGAAAAATGGAAGTTTCTAGAAATAGACTTGCCAGATCAGAGGGCATGTGCGTTTGAAAGATTTTATGGAAAGTGCAAAACTGCTTGCTTCTCCAAAAGAGTCATGCCACTGAAGATTTCCTCCGGCAGCTTTACCAACACCAAACGGCTTGCTCTGCCAGGCCGCGAGGTGTCACTTGCCCTGCTCTTTTCTTTAGTTGCGCGTGAAGTTGAGCATCTTGTCGTCTGCACAGGGGCAATTGGAATTTCTTGGTAAACAGTCCTGTCATATGGTAGGTTTTTTTTTTTTTTTTTGAATGATTGTAAAAATAATCACATGCTCATTTAGAGAATTTAGAAAATACAGAGAAGAACAAAGAAGTAAAATTAATCACCCATATTCCACTGGGCACAAGCAACTTGTAATATTTCGGTATGAAGTTTTCTTTTAGGTTTTTTTTTTTTTCTTCCTGCCATCCATTGAAAACATTTTTTTAAAATTAGGTATTATAGTCACGTGGTTCGTTAATCAAAAAATATAAAAAGAAGTAGAGGGAAAAGTCTCCCACCCCATTCCTGTGTTCCTAGCCCACTACTTCTTCTCTCCGATACCTGTTTACAGATAACAACCACAGTTGTTAGCTGCTATCAAGTCGACTCTTGACTCATGGTGACTTTATGTTCAGCAGAATGTAACATTGTCCAGTCCTGCATCATCTTCATGATGAACAGCATGTTCGTGTCCATTGTTGTGGCTATTTTGCCAGTTCATCTCACTGAGGGTCTCCCTCACCCTTGCTGGCCCTCTACTCCACCAAACATGATGTCCTCGTTTAGTGATTGATCCCTTCTAATGACTTGCCCAAAGCAAGCAAGATGGGGGGGGGCAGGGCCAAGATGGCGGAGTAGTCAGATGCTTCTGGTGGGCCTTCTTACAACAAAGACCCAAAAAACCAAGTGAATCGATCATATATGGCAATCTGGGAGCCCTGAACATCAAAGGCAGAGTTGAGGAACC